CATAATATATATTTTTAAGAGATGAATTTTTAATGACTCATGAAACAATAAAATTGTACACTGAGGACCTAATAGAGCACTTTTGAATTTTAAAAAACCCTCCCCTAGTAATTACTAATCATAACACAGACAAAAATATATCAAGCTCCAAATTTGTCCATTGTTGAACTATCCATTCCTACCTTTATTCAAATAAATGTGTACTAACTCTTTAGATTCATTAAAGTGTCATCCCTTACACTGATGTTTTAATTAGAATTTTAATTATTTTATATTTATTTGCATTTTTATTTAATTTGATAATTTTGCAAAACTTGTGAGACTGAAATTTAATACCTAATATTATTTTTGTATGTGTTTGAAGGTCATAATATTTTTTTAAAAAAAGGTCAGGATGAGAGTGGCCCTTACAGGAACACTGGTATTTCATGCAGTTGTGAGAAACATAGGTGCATCTATTATCCAGAAGCTACCCTGGGAGAAGCTATCCACACCAGGGCCCGAGATACATCCTCTCACATAGACTATATCTCATAAAAGGACATATCCATTCACTTATTTATTCACTCATTCTACAGATATTTTAACACCTTTTTGAGAGAAGTGCTTATATGTTTTGGGAGATGGACTAATGATACTAACAGGATTGTGTTCATGATCTCAGGAACACCAAGTGTAGCTTGAGAAACAGGGATTCTAACTTGATGTGATCAAGCTGATATGTACACAAACTATGGAGGGAGAAGAGGTGAGCCTTGACTCAGACTGAAGAAAAAGTGAGTGCACTCATGTCCTTAATGAATGAGTAGGAGTTACTCAGGTAAAGGGCAGGGCAGAGAAGGGAGGGAGTCTAAGCAGAGAGGTTCACTCCCTGATTCCAGGAGATGCGTGGCAACGCATCAAGGAGAGATCTCAGAACATGCTTTGTTATACTCCCAGTGAACCTATATGCTTTAAAACATCTTTACTAGGTGTGAACAGACATGTGATGATGGGGCTGGGAAGACTTAAGGGAGCCATATTGTCCTGCATTTAAAAAGGGTGAAAGAGGAAATAGCCCATTGTGTGGGCCCCAGGCACCAGTGTGAAGTGTGCAGAGAGTGTTACTGTGTCCTTCCTGGAGCCCCACTCTTCACCCTCAATACTACTTTCCCGTCTTTGGAACTTGAGTTTCACTCTAGGGTACATACATCTTCAAAGATGGAAAGTAGGCTGCAGGGACAGGGGCAAACACAGCATATGCTGTCCCTTCTGGTGGGTAATTGTCAAATTCCCCTTCTGCACATTTCTCTTTGCTTCAGCTGTGGCCTAATCTTGTAGGGCAGTTTGTCTTGCCTAATATCTGAACTAGATGTTGTAGAAGATTCCACAAGGAATCAAGCAACTAGAATAAGAACAGTCTCAAATTTAGTGAATCCCTGAAAAAAACTTTCTGCTGACTCTCAGGCAGCCATGCTATCTGCWTTCCACTCAGGATTGGCGATCTTGTTGATATTCAGGGAACAGCATTTACTTAAAATGGCTAAGATGTCAATGCTTTGGTTTTAGGATGACCTTCAACCCCTTTGGTATTGGAGAATATCCCTATTACATTACCATTGTAACAAAGCCTTTGCTATTTTACGAAGGTGCCATGGAGACTCTGTGACCCAGGCAGAGACCCTGTTATGCTTCCTGCACCCTGAAGGGCAGTTCTGACCCTGAACTGCACTTATAGACACAGCTGTCCCTTTCCTTTTCTGGTATGTCCAAATATCTAAACCAAGGGCCTGGGCTCCTCCTGAGAAGATCATCAGAAGACCAGAAGTGTTTTCCAGGCAAGCCAGCTAGGGGCAACAACTCCTTCCCCATAAAGAAACCTCTCAGGCAGAGGTGAGCCTGGCATGACACTGGGCTCTGAGGTTTTTGAGGGGCTGGGCAGGTGCAGCACAAATCCAGAGAGTGAGGAGATCCTGGGTGTGGCCAATCAGTGAGGGGTGATTCCTCTGTCCAGTGTCCCTGGCTGGAGGTTTGTGCCAGGACCTTCCAGCTCTGTTGCTTCAAAGCCAGGGCATCTGGAGTTCTTGGATTACTCTCCAGAGCAGAATAGGGAAGGGACAATGTCAAAGGGAACCAGGCTGTTTTCCAGAGGAGCCTGTTTTCAGTGCAGATATCTCTCCTTTCCCACAGATGGAGAACACACCTGACAAGTTCCACTAGCTCTGCTACAGGACAGTTTAGTTAGTTGGTCTGTGCTGAAATGAGTCACTTTAACTGCTTATAAATGTGYCCAGAAAAAATGGTTCATGAACTAATGTGTGATCTGTTTTTACAGTTGGAATCAGGATAGTGTGTCTTGTTGATTTTAACAGCAGAAACTCCATCTTCAGTAAATGGATGCTTATTTGCCCTATCCTTGACTTCTTTTCCTCATGGGATTGTTCTAGAAATGCAAATCCCTATGAAATTTTTAAGAGGACAGCTAAGAGAGACCATCCTCCTGTCTGGGACAYTGCAGGTTCAGAACAGCCCTGTCAGTACAGGCTGTTCCAGGGCATCTTGCTCACACTGTGCCAACACACCTCACTCTGACCTTTCACTCAACCTGGTAACTTTTCAGTGCTAAAGAATGACCTTGAGGTTTCTGCTCTGAGATGTTCAGGATTCTGCACATGACTCTAGCAGTGAAACCTGACCTGTTATTTTTATCATTGTATCTGGGCCCATGATACTCCTGCAGTAAACAACAAAAAACTCATGTGTCTACTTACAACAGAGGAGGATTCTCATAACCTTTCAATAAAATAGCCTTATGTTTCTCCACACCAAATGRATACAAACAGATGAACTTGGGCTTTTGATGCAACACTTGGGGCACCAGGAGAAGGACCTTAACTGTCTGGGAGCTCCACATRTCCTTTTTCCACCTTGCATTCTCTGGGCTTGGCAGGTGTAAGTCAGGCTTCACATGGCCTGATGCTGCTCTCTTTCAGAGCTCTCTTTAAAAAAAAGAAAATACRCTTAGAAATACTAGTTTCYGTGACTGGAATAGCAGGAAGCCATGAAATAAAAGCTTGATTTGTTTCATAGTAAATCTGTCTCTGGATCACATAGAGATTAATTTCCTCTGTAAGAATTAGTTATTATGGGCTGTGGATGTAGCTCAGTGGTAGAGCACTTGCCTATTATGCATGAGGCATTGGGTTCAATCCCAAAAACTGGGGGGAAAAAAGAATGAACTATTATAATATCCTCAGTTTGTCCTGATATCCACAGCTTCCCCTGCCCCAAGTCATGCTTTCCACCACAGCAATTGAGTCACTTTAGCTATCATTCATTTATTTTCACTCTATCAATTTTAAATAACAGTTTTATTGAGATATAATTCACATGCCATAAATATATCATTTTAGTATATTCACAGAATTGTGTAGTTATCACTRCTAATAGCAGTACATTAGGGCTACAAAACAACTCTGTGTGATACAGTAATGGTAGACATGTCATTATGTTTTTGTCTCAACCAAAAGAATGAATGGTTCTGAGATTRAAACCTGATGTAAACTACACATCCTGGCTGACAATGATGTGTCCATGCAGTTTCTTCAGTTATAACAAATGTATCTCTGTTGCATAAGGTTGAGAGAGGGAGGCTATACATGTAGAGGTCATGGTCAGTTTGGGACTCAGGAGACATGATGTGAAATTATTCGTTAACAATAAAGTATTTCTCATGTGATTTTTGCCAAATTACATGACTGGCAAGGTAGGAACAAAGGCAAAGTTTTTACTTTTCACCTTGGGATCATCTGTAGGGGCAAAAAAAGTGTATGTAAACCAAAAGATATATGACCATGTTAGCCCATGACTAYAGTTCATAATAATTTTAAGTTCTCCATTTTTTTATCAAAAATAATATACTGAAAATGATCCAACCCAATAAATTATAATAAGATAAAGCAGCTGCTCAGAGCTGTCAGGCATCTCCCTCTATACAGGAAGCATGTGACAGGACCCAGGMAAACCTGCCCCATATCTGCTAACTGCATTTCCTGTTGGAGCAGATGCAGTGCATAGCCCAGTAACTTTGCTTGTACCTCTTGAGCCCCAGGTGCAGAATTAAGATCTGGATTTGGGACAAAACATAGAGCATTTTTCTCAGGGAAGAACTACCATTATGCTGGCCACCAGCCTGCTGGGAGCAGCCATTGCCTCCATCTGTCTTGGTAAGGATGTGCACAAGCACAGGGYGCAGGCTCTTCTCAGCCCTGAAGGTTCTGAAGAGAAGATCTTTGTTTTCTGATGAGGTTCTGAGGGATGAATAAAAGGAAATGGGTCAGTCACTTCATCTTTTTGACTCTCATAGTTCCAGATAAAGGATTAGTCTATTTCTTCTTCTCTCCTGCAGGAATCAGCATGGCCCAGAAGGTAATTCAARCTCAGACTGCAATTTCTGTGGTGGAGAAGGAGGCTGTGACCTTGCACTGTGTGTATGAAACCAGCGATCCTTCTTATTATTTATTCTGGTACAAACAACTACCCAGTGGGAAACTGACTTTCCTTATTCGTCAGGACTCTTACAATAAGCAAAATGCAACAGAGGGTCGCTATTCCCTCAACTTCCAGAAGGCATCCAGTTCCATCCAGCTCACCATCACAGCCTCACAGCTCATGGATGCAGCAGTGTATTTCTGTRCCCTGAGAGAGGCCACAGTGAGAGAGCTGCCTGTGGGAGTCCCACAAAAACCTCAAGAAGAGCTAGGGCCTCTGGGGGGAGACCCCACCACGGACAGGGAGGAGCAGGGGCTGTGTCAGCACAGGTGGGGGTTTGGCAAGTAAAACTGAGTGCAGTTCATGTAGAATGTCCAGATGGTCACTTGTTAAAAGGATGTATATCTCCTGTTCTATGCAATAGATTGAGATAGAATGCATAGCACATATTTTTATAGCATATGCAAAAATTATTTTCAAAATAAAATTTAAGACTACTTATTAATCTTGTATTGGTGTTATTGAAACAAAGATTTCAAATTGCCTTCATACCAAATGGATGATTTTATTGATGAGTTGTTGAATTATTAGAATCATAAATGCATTTATGCATTCATTAGTATGTAAATGCTTTAGTCAAATTATAAAACAAATGCCGTTTATTTTTTAAGAAAATTTTTCTCAATTTTTTCAAAAATAATCAGATAAATTGCTAATCAATCAGGTAGATTAAATTATTTAATTTAGAACTTTTCCCATAATCATACTAGCA